CGCCAACACCGCGAATCAACGTGACTGTCGTGCCCAGACAACCCTAAGTCGTGTCACAACACCATTTCTGGGACGCCAGCCGTAGGAATCTCTGAAACGGTTGAAAAACTGTTCAGGCGAATGTGCGCGGCGCATTTTGAAAAGGAACCGCTCGCAATCTGCGAATTCTTACGAACTTTCGAGGCGAATGTGTGCGGCGCCATGGCGAGAACCACATTTTGAAGACGACCCGCCCTCCATCCGTGAAACTCTGGCAAACTTTAAGACGGAAGTGCGCGGCGCTAAGGCGAGAACGACATTTTGAAAACGGCCCACCCTCCATCCGTGCAACTGTTGCAAACATCGAGCTTCAGGATCATTCATGGTGAGGAAGTCTCAGGCGAAACGCCCGTTTTGACAACGCAGGGTGTTTCCTTTCCATTTTGACTAGCATACGAGATCGACATTTGACATTGAGATTGTCTGCTTGCGGTCGACGGTGACATACAGGCGCCTCCTGGAAGACCAGTGTAACGCAGGCTGGGCGAGAGGGGAGGAGGGAGAGTAGCACAAGGAGGAGGAGGGGGAGGAGGTGGAAGCGGAGGACGACAAATAGACAAAACGCGTAGGAGGAGGGGGAGGAGCGGGGATGAGGACATCGACAGCAACGAAAACATCACAGCAATTTCGGCGGCGCGCGCATGGGGCTGGCGTGATGGGGGCGGCCGTCTAAGACGGTTTTTTTTGGGGCTTTTTTGGAGGCCTGGGAGCTACCGGAAGAGGAGGAGGAGGCGGAGGAGGAGGCGGAGGCGGAGGAGGAGGGGAGGTGGAGGAGGCGGAGGCGGAGGCGGAGGCGGAGGAGGGGGAGGAGGAGGGGAGGGAGGAGGAGGAGAGGAGGAGGAGGAGGCGGAGGAGGAGAGGGAGGAGGAGGAGGAGGGGAGGACGAGGAGGAGGGGAGGAGGAGGAGGAGGGAGGGGGAGGAGAAGGAGGAGGAGGAAGAGGAGGAGGAGGAGGGGAGGGGAGGGGGGGGAGGAGCAGGGAGGGGAAGGGGAGGAGGAGGAGGGAGGAGGAGGAGGAGGAGGAGGAGGAGGAGGAGGAGGAGGAGGGAGGAGCGGAGGAGAGAGGAGGAGGAGAGAGGAGGGGGGGAGGAGGAGGGGGAGGCTATGAGGAGGAGGAGGGAGGAGGAGCTGTGTTGGAGGAGGACGAGGAGGAGCAGGAGGCCGAGGAGGCCTGGGGATGAGGGAGGATGCCGGCGGTGGCACGGCACCCGTCGGCGCCGTCCCCGAGCCCAGGACGGGCTGTGCGCGTGCGTCCTCCCCGAGGGGGAGTTCGTGCTGACGTACGGGGAGCCGGCGGCGAAGGCCGCCTGCTGAGCTTCTCCCTCTCCTCCTCCTCGTCCTGCTGCCCTCCTCCCTTTTTCCCCTCCTCCATCCCTTGCCCTTCTAGAAGTATCGGGGGAACGTAAGACTCGAGTAAGCCGGAACTCGGGTTTTGCTGACGTTTTTTGACGAGCGCGTCCTGGATTTTGACGGTCCCGTTTTCGTGGGATGTTTGCAGCGGGAGCTCGCGTCAAATTTCAGATTGGGCCTCGTCATTTTTATTACGGCCCCGTCAGGCCAACCCGAGTCCCCCGTACCCGAGTCTTACGTCTCCCCGATTATAGAAGTAACTCCTCCCGGTCGCGGCCCGAGACGGGTCGGTAGGGCTGCCGGGCGCTTCGCCGGAGATTTCCTCACCATTTGTAGCCCTGAAGCTCGGAGTTTTCAACAGTTTCACGGGTGGAGGGCGGGTCGTTTTCAAAATGTGGTTCTCGCTTTAGCGCCGCGCACATTCGTCTTCAAAGTTTGCTAGAGTTTCACGGATGGAGTGCGGGCGGTTTTCGGCATGTTCGCAAGAGTTTCACGGATTCTGGGCGGTTCCTCTTCAAGTTGTGCCTCTCGCCTTAGCGCCGCTCACATCCGTCTGGAAAATCTGTTCGAGTTTCAAGGATTCTTATGGTGGACGTCCCAGAGATGGTGTTTGGGACCGAGGTCGGATTGTCAGTGCGCGACTAGCAAGTTGATTCGCGGTGTTGGCGTCCCAGAAATGGTGGCGGATCGTCAGGTCGCAACGGTAACGTTGATTCGCGGTCTTCAGGCCCCAGGAATGGTGTTTTGCCTTGATTGAAGATTTTCTGACAGTTGTCTTCCAACGAGGCTCTTCCCACAGTGAAGATAAATCTTCATCGGGGCCTATGAAGAGGGAACTGCGTGGGAGGACTTATTGCAACATCGTTGATGAGTCTTTGGTTTGCACTGGCTCTCCTCCTTCTCCTCTTCCGCCTCCTCCTGATAAGCACTCGTGGTGGGCCACGGCCTCCACGCCATGCCCTAATGTGCAAGGACGGGCTCCCCAGAGGAGCGCAGCACGACTCCAGCGTCCGCGTCGCTTCGTTTCGCTTCCTCCTTCCCCTCCTGACCTGACATGGCGCAAGCCCAGCGATCGTGGCGTCTCTGCGCTCCTCACCGCGCTTGCGCGGCCC